GTCTGCAGCGCATGCTGTTACAGCTGCAGAGATACGACATAGAGATTGTGCACCGGCCCGGAAAAGACATACCTGTGGCTGACACACTGTCCAGGAAACCATTGCCCGACCAAGACAGCACGCTGAGTGAAGGCATGGAGGACCAGATCCACTCAGTGATAAACAGCCTCCCAGTAAGTGACAAAAAACTCTCAGAGATACAGGCTGCAACAGGATGCGACCCGCAGCTCACCCTGCTGAAGCAAACTGTGCAGGATGGCTGGCCTGAGGACAGAAAAAAATGCCCCAAAACCCTTTTGGACTTCTGGAATTTCAGAGATGAAATTTCACACTTCCATGGCATCATCTTCAAAGGTGACAAAATTATAGTGCCAATAGCCCTAAGAAACAACATGCTGGAGAGAATCCACACTGGGCACATGGGGATTGAGAGGAGTAAGCAGAGAGCAAGGGACGCCCTCTTCTGGCCAGGCATGGGCAAGGACATAGCTGCCACGGTGGAAAACTGTTCCATATGTCAGGAGAGGCGCACGGCGAATTCCAAAGAACCTCTCATCCCACACCAGATCCCTGAGAGACCATGGCAGGCAGTGGCCTCAGATCTCTTCACATGGCGTGGACGGGACTACTTGGTAGTTGTGGACTATTACAGCCGCTACTTTGAGGTCGAAAGGCTATTCTCTACCACTGCAGGGTCCGTCATCAAAAAGCTCAAGGCCATATTCGCCAGACATGGTATACCAGAGAAGCTTATCTCAGATAACGGCCCACAGTACAGCTCTCGAGAGTTCAAGGATTTTGCAGTCACATGGGACTTTGTCCACACGACCTCAAGTCCTTTGTACCCGCAAAGCAACGGCCTCGCCGAAAGAACAGTCAAAATGGCCAAATCAGTTCTGGATAAAGCTCATGCTCAGGGAGTAGATCCCTACCTGTCCCTATTGGAGCAAAGGAACACGCCAGTCGATGGCTTCAGGTCACCCGCGCAGCTCCTCATGAGTCGACGTCTACGCTCAGTGCTTCCCATTACCGGATGCCACCTGGTACCTCGCATCATAAGCCCGACGGTTGTGCAAAAAACACGGATGGAAAGACAAGAGCATCAGAGGCGTTACTACAATCGCAGCGCCACACCACTACCGAGGCTGCAGCAGGGGGACCACATTCGCTTTCAGCACGAGTCCGGAGCCTGGAAACCGGCTGTCATCATCCGACCTGCAGAGACTGCCCGCTCTTTTGTGATCCGCACTGGCGAGGGACAGACTATACGGCGTAACCGACGGCACCTGAGAGGCGCCAAGGCGTCACCGGCACCTTCAGCACCAGCATCCGATCTGGTCACCCAGCCAGATAGTGCAGCTCAGCAACAAGCAGAGCCCCTGTCACCATCTAGAGACACTAAAACGCCAACCATGGACACTAGCCCTGCACTGACCACCAGATCAGGACGAGTGGTCAAACCGAGGGTTATTCTTGACCTGTGATTGTAAAGGGTGTAGGCGGATCGCTGCCCTAAAAAAAAAAAAAAAAAAAAAAAAAAAAAAAAAAAAATGGAAACATGTCAAATGTCCATGTACTAATGAGTGCATATCCCGCAATCCCGCATTGCATTGTTGGTGTTAGTTTTATGCCCCAGTAATTTTACACATGGCAGTGTTGAAAAACTGTTCCTTATCCTCATGTTCAGGATGTTCTATTTTGAAATGTATACCAGCTGTGTCACTGGCGGACATTTAAAAAAAAAAAAAAAAGGGAGATGTTATATTGCTTATAATGTTTGCACTCCGTGCTTACTGTCCCTTGTGGTCCACCGTAGTGGCAACGGGGAGTGTTTGTTTTCACGAAAGTGGGGGTGTTTTATGTGGAACTGGACGAGCGGCAATAAAGATAATGGTGGCTCACGAAGCAGATTACGAACACGTTATTCATAAGTTTGAGACAGAACATTACAGGGCGTTTCCGCGATGCGCGTATCGAGGCTTGCTTAATTTATGGGAGGAGCTGAAAATGATGATGTCCGAAGCCTCGCTGCCCGGCTGTACCACGTGACTGGTTCATGAAGTGGTTCGAACTTTGCTGCGAGCTATGACAGCGATATAAACCCCTCAGACAAAATGTAGGTGTTTGATGGAGAGTTGCGGTTAGTGAGAGTTTGGAGAGAGTTTGGAGGTTGAGGAGAGTGAGAAGAGAATGGAGCCAGCTAAGAAGAGGAGGATGTCCTCCCCTGTGTGGGAACATTTTGATCTTATATCTCTCAACAAGGTATGTAAATTTCTACAGAAGATGTATTTTCATAATACTGATGGTGCAATACAATTTATGTTAAGCTGTCTTTACTTTTGTACAAGGTGAAGTGTTTGCTATGTGCCAGGGAGCTGGGATATAACAACAACACCTCATCCATGCTTAGGCACTACAGAGCTTTGCATGAGAATAAGAGGAACACCGACTGTGGAGCAAGACCAGGTGAGCCATCAAATGCAATGATAATATAGCATGCAGTAATGTTACTAAATGATATAACAATATTATACAACTGTTATAAGTTACGTGTGTGATATTTATATTTGTGCTTTGTTCTCCTGAGGAAAGACAACAAAAACAATCTCAAATAGATGAAGACCTGGTCAGCATGGTGATTGAGGACTCCCAGCCATTTAGCATTGTGGAGGACAAAGGATTTAAAAGATTTGTTAAATCATTAAATCCTAGCTATGTTCTCCCCACTAAAGGTCATAAAAGCAGTGAAAATTTAGTTTTTACAGAATAAAATGTGAACAGGCAGGACTGAGGCTCAAAGCCTCAGTGTGTAGCTGTCCATACCTCAACGTTACAAAAGCACAACCACTGTCCACACCCCAACCACACCTCACCTCACAGTAAATGATCACTTCCATTTTAAGCATTTCCAAATAATCATTTTCCATACTGCCAGTATAAATATACACAGTATACTGGATCACTACAATATACATGTTTTACACACTCCTTTTGTTGTTGACATTTACAGGCTGTGTGCAAAATGCCACACTCTTCAAATTCATGCAAACTAATATTTTTACGTCCAGTAGATGTCCTACTAGAGCAAATGAAGCTTCAAGACGCTTTGTGCTGGGGTGAACCAATTGGATGAAAAGCTTCAGTGCTTCATGAAGCTTCATCTGCCCATCACTAGTGAATAGTCTCCCAGAACCTGCTGCCCACTTTCCTGCTTTGGATTGTTGGTGTGTGGATTTATGTGGTGGAGCACAAGTATGTGAGAGGACCTTTCCCTTCCCTCCCTGGACCCCTGGATCTTTCCCCCCACATGTATATATTGTGCGCTTGGTGTTGTGTAAATTAACTGTCGTATTGAACTTTGAATTCCAGTCTGTGCCTGAGTACTCTCCCTACCGGTGACAGACAGGTGACTTACATTATGAACTTTTCCAAACAAAAGTTATCTTGACTTTATTGAACCTTCTCATAAGTAATAATCCTCTTTCTGTAAAACATCAGAAAACATTGAAAATATCAATATTAGTATTGTGTAATTTATACAGTTCATAATTTCATGAAGGAATTGTCATTTATCTGGGTCATTTGACCCAGTGTTTTGAGTTTTGTGTGTTTTGGTGTCATTTTTGTATTATGGTTTATGTCTTAGGCTCATTAGTAGTCTTTAGTTTTGTCTGTTTTGAGGTTCTTCTGTTCTCTGTTTTGTTCCTTGGCCATTAGGTTCCCCTTGTGTCTCTGTCCTCTGTGTCCCCCTCTGTGCGTTTGTTTTACTTTGATAGTCTCCTGTCTGGTGTGTGTCATGTTCAGTTTACTGGTTTAGTTTCTTGTATTTGACGGTCCAGAAAATATAATATAGTCACTCTACGTCTGACCAGGTATCAGTTATTCAACTTAAACTAAATTTCAGTACTGGCAGGCAAAGTGTTTCCAAGGCAACAAGGTAAAGGAATAATATGATGTAGTCACACCACGTGACAGATAGCGGCACTGTGATTCACAAAGTCTCTTAAACATTTATGCAGGACAGCAGTCTTCTACTACTTTATACTTAAACACTTGCACCTTTAAGGATATATGTGCCTTGCTGCTCTTGTTGTCGTCATCTAACACATTTCTAACAGTCTGTCCTCTCATCATCTTTCACTTTTTCTCATTTCCTCTCTTCACTTTTATCATTATCTGTCACATCTTCTTGATTACTATGTGACAAATCGTCTACAAGCACACAGACCTGTTAACCTGCTTACCAACTGTTTTCCGCCTGTGTGGTGTTAAGGCACACCAGAGGTCAAAGCAGAGTATAAAAGACCAGGTCAATAGAGAAAGGCACAAAACGCACCTCTGTTTATGAAACTGTAACATTACAATTACAGTACCTTAGTTGAGTATGCCTAATGGCAGCATGTTAGCATCCAGTACCTGAAATTAGATTTAGGGTATGGATGTCAAATACAGAAATATCATGATATTGCAGGTGTACTGGCTAGTTAAGCCATACATCAAAACATTTGCATCGGCTCACTGACCGTGTTTCATTTTCACTAACAAACAAACCCATGTATTGCCGTTTACATTCACTCGTTAACATAAATATCTAATCATCCAGTTGTGTAGCAGCATTCATGCATGTAGACATCAGAAATAGATAGAAAGGTGATTTAAGTGACTTTGAATGTCTGCTCCAAGTATTTCAAAACTTCTGATCTACTGGGATTTCCCCACACAGCCATCTGTAAGGTTCTCACTGGAAAACATCCAGTGAGTGATGGGGGAAAAAAACATGTTGACGATGCCAGACATTAGCGGAGAATTGGTCAAGCTACTTCAAGCTTACAGAAAGCTGAAAGTTATGCAAACAAACCACTCACAGAAGAGCATCTCTGATAGCACGACATGAAGATCATGGAAGAATGGAGTGATCCTTGCTAATAACAGGCCAGGTTGTTGGTGGTGTAATGGATATTCAGCAGACTAAGCCACCATGTCACAATATTCAGATTATATCAGATTGTGTTTTTTTAATAATAGAATGAGTTTTACTCAAATGCCTTCCACAGCAGCTGTGATACAAAATGTTGCAAAATTAAGAAAAATGTTTCCAACACCGTGTTAAATCTCTGCCACAAAGAATTAAGACTGGCAAAAGGGAGGCCAACCCAATACTAGCAATGTGTACCTAATAAAGTAAACATTGCACATCCCCATTTTTTAAATAAACAGTGTATTAGGAATTGTGAGGGTGTTAGTGTGATATTTACTGTGGGTTATAAGTAAAACTTCAGAGTAAAACATGATAAATTAATTTGGGAAGGTTAATAAATGTAAGAAGCTAATTTCATGCAACATTTTGCAGTTTTGCTTCTCCTCCAAGAACACAATATTTTGGCTCAATAAATACAAAAGTATATTTCACTTGAATGCCAAGCCATTAAAGAGAAAATTTGATAACTGTGCATCATCTTCATTTTAGGAACATTAAAAATAAAATATATATGATAAACTTATGATAAATACACAAAAATACACGAAATGATAAAAAATAATAATAAATATTTTACTGGAGATAAACAGCTAATCAAACTTCACTTCAAAGTACCTTTTTAAAAGAAATATTGTATGGAAGTGCTTTTTCACCAACAGACACTTCCACACTCATTTCTTCTGCACTTGAGCGTAGATACACTCTGGGCCATCAGCTGTCTCTGATGGCCTGTCTCTGCTTTGAGTCTTGCACTCTTTGACCTGTGAATACACCACATCCTGCTGCTGTGTGCTGTCCTGCAATCGGTCTAAAGAAGGTCCGGGTCTCTGCTTGGAGAAGTCAATCTGTCCATAATGGATGTCTTCATTTTCTGCTGTTCTGGCTGCTTCTTGGAGAGACAGACTCTGAAATCAAACACACCAAACTTGAGATGTAATGAAGAACTGGGAGAAAACTCTGTTTGACTCAATCAGTGATATAATTTGATACCTTCAGAGTAGCAACTTGATGCTTTGAAAGCAAGTAAAACACAAAAAACAGGACGTTTAATCGCATTTCATGTGAGTGAGGAATCTGCTCCATCTCACCCCATTAGAGCACTTTGTCCTCAGACTGCTGGTTTACTTACTGGGAGGCAGAGTATTCAGCTTTCAGGCCACTCTTCTGTGGAACCAGCTTCCAGTTTGGATGCAGGAGACACACACCCTCTCTACTTTTCTAAGATTTTTAAGATAAGATTTTATTTTTAATAAAGCCTATAGTTAGGACTGGATCAGTGACCCTGAATCCTCCCTTATTACACTGCAGTTGGTATAGTCTGCTGGATGATTCCCATTATGTTGCTTTTTCACTCACTGTGCGTTTATATGCCACTCTCCATTTAATTATGTTTAATCTCTGTCTCTCTTCCACAGGGTGTCTTTGTCGTGTCTTCCTCCCCTCAACCCAACCAGGTGCAGCAGATGGTGGCCCCTCCCTGAGCCTGGTTCTGCTGGAAGTTTCTTCTGGTTTAAAGGGAGTTTTTCCTTCCTGCTGTCACCAAGTGCTTGCTCATAGGGCCTCATATGATTGTTGGGGTTTTGTCTGTTATTGTAGGGTCTTTACCTTACACTATAAAGCTCTTCATGAAGCTGGCTTGGCGTTATATAAAAAAAAAATTAAACTGAATTGAAAAGACTGCAGTCACTATTGTGCAGTCATGTTAAAACCACAATAAAGTTCAGTTTTCCCACCTGTGTCTGATCGGAAGCTCCATGTTTGACTGACTTCAGCCGCCTAAAAGGAACAAGACAACTTTTAGCCAGACAGACAGACAGACAAAAATAGTATAGTAAAATTACTTTCCTGAAACGTTCAAGTATGATTGACTCAACCCTGAAGTTTCTTCAGTGCACAAACAATTATCTGACTCATTAACGGACTCATGTTGTGCTATGTTGCCACCTTGTGGCCACCAGCAGGAATGACACAACCCTGAGTAGCTGTCCAACTTTACGTTTGATTTTGATGTCATGTTCACTTAAAATCTACTTCTGCGACCATATAAATGTAAAATGCACACCAAAACATCCTAATTTTGTCTAAGACATTCACCCAAAATGTAACAATTTACAGTATTTAGGCAAAGTATAAGACAATGTTGTAAAATACCTAATACAAACAAATAAACAAAGTGATGAACAAGCTACTCACAATGCTAAAAAAAATTATTAAAATAGGTTAAGAAACAGACACTTACCAAATGATGAAAACCAAACAAATAAGTGTGATGATCCCAAGGATCCCTCCAACAGCAGCCCACCACGTATCAGTTCCTAAAGAAACACATGTTGAGTCTTTCTGCTCGGTATACTCAGTGTTCATTCATATATGTCCAGCCTCCTTATTTTACTTTCCCCTGCTGTTTGCACTTGTACTTTGTGAAGATGTTCATCCGTGATGAACAGCTGACTACCTACATTTTTCTGAAAAGATTTATCCCATTCCTGATTATTTTGATCAATCTGTTATGACTAAAGTTAAACACAATGTTTAGAATTGAGCCTTTTCATCTATCATTTTACATTTACCTGAAATATTAAGATGAATCTCTGCTGATGTCTGATTACCCAGATCATTAGTGGCCACACAGTAATAAACTCCTCCATCTGTTACATTGAAGCTGTAAATCTCTCCTTCAGATACTTTCACAGCTCCATCTCTGCTCTTCTTGAACCAGGTGAAGCTGCTGACTGGAGGTTTGGCTCTGCTGGAGCAGGTCAGGTTCACCCAGCTGCCTGCTGACACCAAACCTGATGGACTGATGGATGCTGAGGTGTCTTTAGGAGCATCTGGAGAAAAAGATTAACACATATCCTTATTATTCATTATAAACAGATAAATAATGGGGATCCCATCAATCATGATATGTTGACAGGATCCAACAACAAACTCTGATTGTCTTACATGAAACACTGAGAGTCTCTTCTGTCTCTGCTGTCTTGGTGTCGTTTCCTTGGTTCACAGGATATCTGGCAGAGCAGCTGATCTTCTTTCCATCATGTGTGTCTGACAGAGTGATGTTCTGCTGGATTTTAGTTGTAAAGCTTCCATCTGTGTTTTCCTCTATTTTGTTGGGAGAGTCTTGTTGGAGATTCCAGGTGAGTTGAGGAGGGGAGTGTGGACAGGGAGTGAGAGCTGAGCAGGTTATAGTGACAGACTCCTTCTCCTTCAGATCACCTGAGACTGTAATATTGGGCCTCCAAGGAGAATCTGTGGTTTCACATCACAAACATATTAGAAATGAAGAGCACACTACACTTTATACATGTTCAAATCTTCAAACTTCATCCTGTGATCTCGTTATCCAAAATTCATAGATAATTTTAGAAATCAGATCCTGAGCAGAGCAAACATTATAAATAAGGAAATATAAACACCATTCAGGCTATTAAGACAATAATTGTGACATAGTATATCCTCAACAGACATAGACAGAGAAAAAAAATCTAACAATCAAGAACAAAACTACAAAATTATTGTTTGCTTTAACTATGAAAAAGCAAGAATTCATTACCTCTGACTGTTATTTGAAGAGGATCACAAGAAGCTGTCGCCTTGAATCTTTCTCTCTCTACTCTGAAGAAGTATGTGTCTGTGTATGTGGTGTTTAAATTAGAAAACAGAGTGGTGCAGTCTCTCTGACTCAAGTTCCCAGTAATACTCATTGGATAGATGCTATCTGCTCCACTACTGTTGAAGATCACATTTTTTGAATTTTTGCCAAATCTAGAATCATTTTTAATCCACACTCCAAAGATTTTTCTTGTGCTGATAAATGTCTGTTCGTCTTTGGGTCTGAAGTTACATGGGATTTGCAAACAAGATCCGCTCAGTGCTTCCAGCTTCTTTGGTGCAGTTATGGAGAGTGCTGGTTGTTTTGTACAGTCTGCCAAAGCACCTGTAAATACATTTTATGGATTAAGTTATTCACACATTAATACTGTACTGTAGTCCCACCAAGATTTAAAACATAATCTTTGATTAAATGATTCAATTACATTGATTTTTGTATCTGTGTGTTTATTACACAATCACAGGTTTTAACAGAGCTCATCTAGAGCTGAATTAGACATAAAGGGTTACTGATTATTTCTTTTTCTTTTGTCATGATTCAGTTTTTAAATTAGACATTAAAAGTGTAGTTGATTTAATATACTTTCTTTATTTTTTCTTAAGCTGTAGGTGTTACAAGCTGTAGCTTCAGCCAACACCCTTTCAGTCATTTGACTTCTTCTTCTGTTATCATTTAAATTCTTGTTTTGTAAACAAACCAAAGAGAAATTACCAATTAAATAATTTCAATTTCAAGTTAGGACAATAACAGTTGGAAAAAGTAGCTGTAGGGTCACTTTTTCTTCCAAATAAAATTCACATTTTAAATGATTTCAATATAAGTGAACAAACGGCTCACCTGAAACAAAGAGGAGAACCGATAACATGCCGACTGTCACCATGTTCACAAACTCCTTCCCTGCATTTTAACAGACAAACACAAAGACATCTGTTTATCTAATCATTCCACACATGAAGTTTTAAAACAGCCCCGACAAAGTTGTTTCACAGAGAACTTCCCCTATTTAACAACATTTTTTTTTCTTAGCAGTGATCTCTCTGAATCTATAATCACACAGTTCATTTAAAACAACAACACAACTAAGTAAAATTTAATACATATTACATTTAAAATTACTTAATGCGTCTTTCATTTAAGTAAAATAATAAATAATTATTAGTTTTAGAGAGTAACAGTGAAATGTTTCCTTACCAAGTGAACGAGTGATTTCACAACGAAATGAGGGGGTTTTAGCACAGTTACAGTGAACCATGTAGCCTGACTGCTGTTAAAAAGAAGGAAGTTCAGAAGGAGAACATGCTCTTTAAGAAAGTGTCCTAAGGCCAGCCTGCTTGGTTGCAAAGCTGCTACAGGCATGGCATCACATGATGCTCTGACCGAAGCAGAAAAATAGTCACTTATCTGTCCTTCCTGTTAATATCCTCTGATAAAGAAAGTCAAAGATTACAACATCGTTAAAGTCTCAAAGTACTTACAAACCATCAAAGAGCTTCTTTACTAACTTGAGTTATTCTAAGGTTTTGTGCTTTTATATTATATATTTAATAACATGAATGAAATTATATCTGTCATGTTTCACTTAGAGTGGATTCAAAGGGGCAAACCAACTCAGTCGTACAAACACGTGAAAAAGTTGATTTATGGTGAATTAAAGAAGAAAAATGGAAACACTTGGTGAGCAAGTGGAACGGGAAGGACCTGAGGAGAAAGGAAGAGGACAAAGACCGGTGATAAGCGCACACACAGTAACGTTAGATTAATGGGAGCAGGCAGCTGGACGTTTGGGAAAGGTGCAGGAAGGTGATGAGGAGAAATCCAGGTAAGCAGGTGAAGCACCAGCGTGAAGGTCCGAAGTGAGGAATCCGTGCCTAACGCTGTTCTCCAGGGGGCGAACGGAGTAAACAGACGAGCGATCTTAGTAGGAGTAGCTGCAGAGGGATGACGAGAAGATGAAGATTACAGCTGGAGATTCCCGGAATGAGCCCATTACCACAGAGCTGAAGCACAGCTGGCACACCGCTGTTCATCACCAGCTTGACGATGCCAAACACCACAAGCTGAACACCCCGAGAACTGCGGCCACACCCACTCACCCACCTAAAGAAAACAGGAAAAGCAAACCCCACCCATCTCGGATCCTTGCAATATCAACAGTAATTATACACACAAGTATTCTGAAGATGTATGGGCACAAATGATTAAAACTAGTTATAACTGAAAGCTTTAATCTCAACCTCCAGTTTAGGGATGGGTACCGGTATCCGGTGCCATTATGGCACCAGTTCTGACATAAACGGTAGTAACCAGACAGTAACCAGACAGTAACCAGACCGAAAAGCAGCGCACATTTCGGTACTTTATTTTTTTTCCTGAGCATAAGAGTTATAAGTTATAAGATACAATCCAAGTCATAACATTGCTGTAGGGAGCTGCAGATTTGGTTGCAGGTTAACATAGCTGGACTGGCCATCAGGCATACCGGTAGTGATGTGCGGATCGATACTGAAATATCGACTCCTCCGATACCAGTTATTTATGTTCTAGAATCGATTCTCACATTAAAATATCAACATTTGAGTAATTTAGGGTAAATTTGTAGTTTATCATTAACAGGAACACAGTGGAAAGAAACTATATCATTCGGATTGTCTACATTGGAAGGAACTACTTCCTCTTCCGCCTTCCATAGTCATGTGCAAAATACAGCTGTATAAATGTGTCGCAGCACTATGGCGTGCGCACTCACAACAATGGCTGAGCGTAAATGGAGTCATGTGCGGAAGTATTTTACCTCCACAAACAGCCGAGATGTGGTTTGCAATACATGTGGCAAAAAGTGAGGTGTTGTGGCAACAACACTAACCTCGTCAAACACTTCAGAGTAAATCATATCACAGAATATAACGAGCGTATGTTAAGGGGGAACTGAAGAGGAGGAGTGGACAGGGAGAGGTGCTGCTAGGGGGAGATAGACGTCTCTCATGGAGTCCTTTAGTAATCTCATGTCTTGTAATCATGATGAAGTTACAATAAAAGATACAATAAATAAAATACGTTATTGTACAAAGTATCGGTATCGGATCAATATCGTCGATACCACCCTGAATTTAACTTGGTATCAGATCGGAAAGGAAATCAGTGGTATCGCACATCACTACATCCCAAGCATTTGCCCAGTGGGCTGATGACTTTTTTTTTTTTTTTTTTTGTAACGGCATGAACAATGAGAGGTGGTGCATTGGCCAGATGCTGGCAGATGTGTAAAAATAACTCAGTTGTTTGGTGGTGACTATGGCGGAGCTTCCACAAAGGCCAGCAGGTGGATGAGTGAAAGGGGAGGCAGGAGGAGGAGAGACCCGAGGCGGCCGCCGGTCCGAGTGTCAGGTGAACTGAACTACAGGTAAGAAGTTATGACCTGCAGTCTATCTGGGTCAGATATAAACCAAGTTTAGGTGGAGTTTATTTTCGTTGTGCTGACTTTTTACTGTCAGTTACAATAACACGTACTGTGTACTAGCTAGCATGACGGAGTTTATTTATAGCTGGGTGGGTGCTATGATGTTACTGATAGTGAACTTTATTTTATTCATAAGGTTAGTTAGTAGAGTTGCCAACGGCTCCTTAAAAAATTTAATGGTCCCTCATTCAGAGAAAATATTATGTGTTTCGTGTTGAGCTAAGAAGGGACGCAGTTTGTCCCGAACTTTAGCTACAATGGAAAAAGACACAAAGCTGGTTTTACTCTGTCGTTACGCTGCACAGCTGCCTCTTCTTCTCTCATCCTCTCCCCCTCCCTCTCCTGATCGGCTTTTCTCTCTTGTTTGTTTATCGCCTACTTTGCGCCAGAAAGAGGAAACCAGCGGATGTCGCGCTAAACAACAGCAGCACGTTTAAGCTTGATCAGCTGTTTTTAGAATTTATTTAATATTAATTTCTAGTATCATCTGATGTTTGCTGGAGCCACAGCTGTAAAACTGCTGGTCATGATGTCAGTTTGGATATGTGGTGAGAGGGAAACATGAAGATGAAACCAGGAGATGTCCTTACTGAATCATCAGAGCTGAACAGGTGATGGAGAAACAGGTTTACCTTTTAGGTGACATGAATGAGTTGAAGGGAAGTTATGAACTGTTTCTGAGAGACAAATAACACCAGGATCCTTTTTTCTATGTAGCTGACAGCTGGTAACTGTGCAGGGGCGGATCTAGCAAAGTTTTGCCAGGGGGCCAGGGGGGCATTAACAGGGAGAGGGGGGCACAAAGAAATACTTTTCTTTCTTATTCTCATTTAAAATGTCTCGCTTTTATTAAATAATTATCTGAATCTTGCGAACAAAGTTTTTATCTGATTTAAAATGCATAGAAATCATACATATACCAACAAGACAGTGTACATCACTGTCACAACAGCGTTTGTTTTCATTCAAAGGCTTTATGGCTTTAATACCTGGTGGGCCGGTCTCTAGTCAAAATGCCCGATTTTCTGTCCCAGTCCAGCCCTGCAGGTTAATACTGGCAGTGTTACCATGCCAGCTGACTGTATGTCATCATCAGCGAGTGTTGTTCTTTATACATCAGTATTACCAAAGTTTATCATAAGGCAGCATAGAAAGTATTTACTTGCTTTCAGGTTTCATTCAAATGTTAGTCTTTTCATTTGTTTCCCCACTTTCTTCCTGTTTCAAAATCAAACACCAGTTTGTGAGAAGATTATCTTCTTTTTTTAATAGGCAGATAAAGTTTTGCATTGGCATTGGCTAATTTGCCAATTGTATGTTAGAAATGTTCGTATTTTAATATTCAAAAATGTTTTTGCCCAAAACATATGTGCACTACATGTCAGTAAAAATACTAACAGTTGGTAGAATTTTTTTTAAACATCATCTGCCAATTATATCTGCCACCCTTTTCCAAATCTGTGCCCCTACCTGGCCCCCCCAACAAAGATTTTCTAGACACGCCACTGCGCAAACCGAGTGCTGGTGGGTTGCCTGTTATCTGGCCCGGAGCAACATCCCCCAAAAACCCGAAGAGTAGAGTCCTGGCCCCTAGCCCTGCCAGTGTAGCAGAAATGATGACGGATGATGATGGCAGCAGCAGCCGTTCTTCTCTGAGTGAGTGGCTTAATGTTGTTCGTGCGTAATTTACGTTGAGTAGGCTAACCACGTTATTACATTAATACACGTAAGATGAACTAGCAACTAGCAACTAGGTTTTTGGACAAAGTTTGTGGGTTTTTTTTCCATTGATTAAGCACTGCTTCCAGCCAAGAGTGATACCATATATGCCCCATAGCTGCAGAAAAGGCTAACATTGTTATCTTTTTACAAAAAAAACAGCTAAACATGAGAGGTTTTTGGACAAAGTTTGTGTTTTCTATTCTTTAAGCACCAGTTTGAGCACCGTTTAAGCACCTGCACCGTTTCAAAAGTACCGGTTTGGCACCGGTATCCGATAAAACCTAAACGATACCCATCCCTACTCCAGTTTCCTCTCTTTAAAACTACATGTTGTGAAACACATGCATCCAGTTCACTCACAAAGTGGACCTTTAAAGAGGAAAAAAAGGTTTCAGCAATCAGTCGAAAATCATGAAATCAATAAAGATTGTTTTTATTTTTGAAAGATGACATGGACAAACACAAAGCAGAACAAACACACGACAATCTTAAACTGACTTCTAAAATGGAGAGCAGTGAGGCCAGGGCTGGAATGGTATTTATATTTTTTTGGAGTCAATTGACAGTGTTGCTGCTGAATTTCAAACTATCTCCAACGATGTCAAAAGAGATTGGAGGAGACTTGGGAGTTACAGTTATCCAGATGCAATAAAGTTTTGGACTTTTCCCTATCTTTAGCTATCTTCAACAACAGAACAGATTTGTCTGTCAAAGGAAAGTTTAGAGTCAAGAATAACACATGTGTGTCTTGAACAGCAGCTGTGGGTGCAAATTGTGTTGTTGCTGTAGTTATGCTGCTCAGGCAGTGTGCAGGCTGCAGCCTTGGACTTAACTTTGAGTTCACAATCAGTTCCTGTGTAAGACGGTAGTTATAAATTTAAGGAAGCTGATGTCAAAGACTGTTGGGAACTTGTGCAACACTTATTACTGCTAAGGAAATGAGAGCTTCTGACATCATGGGTACACTTTTCTTCACAGCATTGCAGCTTTTTATAGATTTATTGAATAAATGTTTTTGAAATCATATTTTCTTTTAAGCATTTTTCTATGTGTACCACCTTATTAATTAGTATTGTTTTGAAGATGATCAAATGTTTACTTGTCTGTGTGTCAAAAAAGTCAGTCGTGTTTGCAGAGTTTTCTTTTTTCATCGCAATAGCAAGCCATGAAATTTTGTCCATAATATTTAAGATGATAAAACTTCATTAACTGTAAAATTGAATCTGATGCATGAAACGACATATTGGCAGTGTAGTATACAAGCTTCATCTCACTGTGGCTCAGATGGCCACAAAATGAAATCTCACTTTTTCATATCTGCAATTTCATCAAGCTCAAACAAACCATTAAACCCTGCAGGGTTAAGCACAAAGGAAGTGGTACTGTTTGACACACATTTTAGTTGTCATGCCATGACTGTGGGATTCTCAGGACAAACTTGCAGCACACGCATTGTGTGTTTCTTGCTGTAATGTTGTTCTCCTTTTAACATTCTGTTTGTTTTATGTGAATTTACGCATTCTTTAACCTAATATATAAATATATAAGATTTCCTGTCAACACATGTGTGTGCAAGTGCAATCAACCCTTTTCTATTTAGAGCAGGAACCCAAATGCCCTGCAGAGAAATTGCACTCAGCATGGTGTGGATGCCCTGATATATAGTTTTTACACATGATAAGTATTTCAGCTGTAGGCATGAAGCAAGGCTTTATGCATATATGCATAGAAATAGAGTATATAAGGCAAAAACAGACTTTGTACAATTCTAAGGAGCTTGAAAGTCAATATTTGTTATGATCACTGTTAATCCTGAACTTAGGACTGTGTAATACTGCAAATTTCAATATTGATCTGATACCAAGCAGAGGTCCAGTATTGCCAATACCATTACTTTTAACTTATAAAGACATCTTATGTGTGTCATGATTTCTGAAATAAATCGTCATCAATTTTCAAAATTCTGGACACATTTTAATCACCACTAAATCACTGAGAACTCCATAATATTTCACAATAAAACTAACCTTTCTTGCTTTTTTAAGAGTCCTGGAATGTAAATATGCACTTTGGGCCAGCTGCAGTGGTTTTAAAGTGTTATATAACATAAATTGACCAGCCAAGCAACACAAAAAGCAGGGATGGCGCAGTAGGGTAGAGTGGTCGCCCCATAATCGGAAGGTCGGGGATTAGAAGCCACTGAACGGCTACCCTTGTTAGGGTGTCTGGGCCGTTGACCCAGTGTTTTGTCTTTTATTGGTTTTTTGATTTTGTTCATTTCATTATTCTAGCTTTGCCTTATGGGTTATAGGTTTAATCTTACTTTAGGTTTTGTTAGTGTTCTGGTGTTCTGTTCTGTTCTATAGTCGCTGTATCCCTGTGTCAAGTCTGCGCCTCTGTGTTGTGTTTCCTGTTTTACTTTGAAGGTCCATGTTAATGTATCTGGTTTTGCTGATTTGCCCCAGCTGTGTTTCCCTCCTGTTACCCATTCCCTGATTGCTCCCTCTGTGTATTTAAGCCCTGTGTTTCTCTGTGTCTGTGCTGTGTGTTCTGGCTGTCTGCCTGAGTTTATTTTTGGATTCTCAGTTTTGTAACTTTTAGTTTAGCATTAAAGCTGTTTCGAGTTCACGTTTTGCCTCTGAGTGTCTGCACTTTGGGTCCACCATTCCTGCCTGCACACAGCCCTCACATGACAACCCTGAGGTATCCCTGAGCAAGGTACCGTCCCTACACATTGCTCCCTAGTGCGCCTGCTTAGTGGCTGCCCACTGCTTCACTGAGTGAATGGGTCAAATGCAGAGGACTAATGTCCCCATGGGGATCAGTATTATTATTAAGAAGTTCAGAAATTGTTCATGTTTGAGGAATGTTTTTTCATTTCCAATAAAACAAAGCTTTACAGCTCTTCTCAGTGCCTCCGAGTCACATAACTGCAGCACAACTAAACATAGCAGTGCAATATTGATATTTGGATCAATCGGCCCATCAGTACAGCAGCTTTCCTGACATTTCTTTAAGTAGTCTTTAGGAATAGTTCTCCAGGCTTCTTCAAGCACATTTGAAGCTCTTCTTTGGATGTTGGCTGCCTTTTGATTTTGTTCTCTGGCCAATTGAGCCCACAGTTATGTTGAACTTCAGAGAGGCCAATTGAAGCAATTTGAGTTAAAAAAAGAAATCATGGAATATATTTCTCCATGACAACAACATCTTCCACTCCATGCAGGAGACTCTGAAGGCACTGAGCAGCTCCTTCAGGGGCAGGCTGCAGCACCCACGATGTGGGACAGAGCGATGCCACAGGACTTTCCTTCTAACTGCTGTCAGACTCCACAACAAAGACTTTGCAGATGACCACACACACGGACAAACACAATTCCAATACACTATGCCTTTGCTTAGTCTCTCTTATGTGCAATATTACTGAGTGCAATTTTCCTGATGCCATGCAATTTTTGGGTGAAGCTATTACTGCTTGGTCAGAATGTGCAAGTGTGTGTGTGTGTGTGTGTGTGTGTGTGTGTGTGTGTGTGTGTGTCTACAATGTTCTCGTTTTATTTACACATCCACTCTGTGTATATATACACACACATACGCTCGCTGTGTACATGTGTACAACTTGGCCAAGTCTACATTTAGTCTTACTTTAAGTTTCCATACATACATTTATATTCTTAAAATACAGATGTCCATATTTATATTCCATTTTACATGGTACATTCTTTAGACTGTACATTTGAACATTTTATTTTCCACTGCCTGTGACAAAGTTTTTGTTTTTTTTTAAATTTCATTTAAATTGATTTGATTTTTTGTTTTTTTTCTTAATTTTTGCTGCTCTTAACTTTATACTGTCCACTTTCTGCCATGACCAAGTAAATTTCCTACTTTTGGAACTAATAAAGGTTTATCTTATGTTATCTATAAACCAAAATGTATTCTAAATATTAGACTCATCAAAGTAGATTTTCACCTAATAGCTTTTTGTATCATGGCCATAGAATAACAGTTTTTTGAAAATCACCTTGTTGAAAAGTTTGAAATTAGTTGTTTGTCATGTTGCCTGATGGTTGGATGCAAGTAGACTGAAAGTGAGAGGACCCAAAAAAAAAAAAAAAAAAAACTTTGCAAGACATTAGGGAAGTCTGGAGAACTATTGGCTAGCTCATTGGTAGCAAAATATAAAGATAAGAGGGGAAGTTTCAGACTTTTGCACAGTACTGTTAAAGGGCAACAAATGAGGATCTTTACAAAAAAAACTTTTTTTATTTTTTTTATTTCCAACACTTGAAATAAAAATGTCCAACACTCATTAAAATACAGCTAGCTCAGGTTTCGTTAGGTGATCCAACAGAAAGTTACAAAAAAGTAACAGTAGCAGTTTCCTTTTGTCTTAACTCCAAACATCACTCATCACAATAACATCTCATTAATTTATGGATACATTCAGTCTATTTGGCTTTCTTTGGTGAGGACACTAGTATTTACACCTTTCTTCTGTACTACCATTAAAACAACAGAGAATTTTAGAAACTTGTACAAGTTTTCGTTTCTTGCTAACCGTGGCAGTAAATGCAGGGATGTTTTAAGTTTTTACTTCCTTAGGTTATACTTCCTCATGAGACTTGCAGACACTTTAGTTGTTAGACTATAAGCTCTGCTTATCTTTCTGCCTCTGCTTTGTTGGGACGTCTCGATCTAAACCAGCTGAAAGAAAAAGGTGGAAACAAGTTAGAAAGGAGGAAAGCTTCTCATTTGATTTTGGTTACATTATAATTAATGCTGTAACTCATGTAAATACATTTGAAATGCCTCACCACTCAAAGATGACCAGTGTGCTGACAAGTATTATGATTCCCACAGTCTTCATTACAGTCATTTTCCCCCAGTGTTCATCACCTGCAATGCGACAGCACAGTCAACTCCTTGATGGAAAATGACTCCTCACAAATGCAATTCCTGTGTTTACCTTCAAACAGCAGCTGACTGCCTGCTGATATCTGGATGTCCAGATGATTCCCGCAGCTGCAGTAAAACAATTTGTCTCGATCGAGTTTGGTCACCTCAAAGCTGTAAACCTTTGTGTCAGCTTTGATCATCTCCAGTTTATCACCACTGGTCATGAACCAGACATAGCTGTCAACAGGAGGGTTTGCCTGGCAGGAACAGGTTAGAGTCACCATGCTGCCCACTGATACAGGACCAGTGGGACTGATCAGCCTGGGAGGATCTGGAAGAGATTTTGGAGTGAATAAAGGTGCACAAAGAGAGAAGAGGCTCTTTATTAAGGTTTTCTCTAAAAGATAAGGCCTTCAAGTCCTACATGAAACATTGAGAGTTTCTTCTGTCTCTGCTGTCTTGGTGTCTTTTCCTTGGTTCACAGGATATCTGGCAGAGCAGCTGATCTTCTTTCCATCATGTGTGTCTGACAGAGTGATGTTCTGCTGAATTTTAGTTGTAAAGCTTCCATCTGTGTTTTCCTCTATTTTGTTGTGAGAGTCTTGTTGGAGATTCCAGGTGAGTTGAGGAGGGGAGTGTGGACAGGGAGTGAGAGCTGAGCAGGTTATAGTGACAGACTCCTTCTCCTTCAGATCACCTGAGATTGTAATATTGGGCCTCCAAGGAGAATCTGTGGTTTCACAACAGACACATCAAATTAATACAGGTATTATTTGGATTTTAGTACACAAGGCTGATAACCATTCAAATACAGTTGTGTACTTACAAGTGTGTAGTTTTTAAGCTTTGCGCTTTGAGGACTCATTGGCATAGAGGTGTAATCTCATTACATTATTTAATAATAATACATACTTGGGAACAATAATGTCTCAAAAAATAGCATTGTGCTCAGTGGAAAAATAAACCAATTCTGATAAAATTTGAGGAAAAATACTTTAAAGCTACTCAGTGATGGTGGTTCAGTTCACGCCACTCTTTCAACTCACCCTGTAAATCTTTGTGATTGGATCTTCAGCAGTGATGATGTTATTGTGCTGACAAAAACTACGTTTTACTCAAGTACTCAAACCACCTTCATTTTCCTGTGGATTTTTTGAAAATACAAACCTATCAATGAGGATCGCCATCTGCATTGATACATCTTATACGCCTAGAATTGAAGCAAATATGTACTTGTGCTCATTCCCTGTGAAAACAATTTAGGCACACTAAAGTAAACCGATTGGTCCCAGATGACAAAGTTTTGCATTTCATATTAAATCTACTCTTAA